AGCAGGAACTGTTAAGATATTATTATTTTTTATATCTAGAGTTTTTATTATTTTCGCACTTTCAAACGGTATTTACTTAAATTTTAAAAACTTTAATCACTAGATGAAAAACGTAGTAATTTTTTTGTTTTCAGAGCGAGCAAACAGTGCAGTCGTATGCGGGACCATCACCAGCTGAACTTGTTCAATCATTATACGATAATAGAGTATGCTCATATTGGTTGGATGTATATTGGACGTACGAGTTATGTCATGGACGCTATATTATGCAATATCATGATAACAGAGAAATGCAGAGAAATGCTAGAAGTGAATATTATTTAGGGAATTATGGTCGAGAACAATCCAAATTGGTATCATTTTTAAGCTGTTTTTCTTGATTGTTTTTATGCAATTATTGTGATTTGTTTTTTCTTTTCCATTTAAGTATAAATTTAGTGACTGTGATTGGGAGCATCTGATAAAGTTTTTTCGTCCTACAAATTCCATTCCTAGTCAGTGCTCTATTTGTTTTATTGATGTTGCAAAACAAATACATCTTGGTTGTACTTTTTTAGGATGATAAGAATTTCGATGAAATGAATCCACCAAAACGCAAAATTGATAACAAAGTGCAACCATATTATCCAGTCACTTATAGACAAGGAACCGTTTGTGATTTAACCGGAAAACCAAGGAGTACGATTGTTATATATGCTTGCGATCTGGTATGTATACTCGTTATTTGAAAATTTTAGAATAGAACAAGGGAACTTCTTGAAACTGCTTTCTAAAATGCTCTAAATTCTGTTTTTCACCATTTTTTTTCTAGGTCAATTTTCCAGATCTTAATTGTAGCGAAAAATTATTAAGTAAATAATGTCTATTGATATAAGCATTGATTGCTTTAATTTTCAAATATTTTTAGGATGCCAGAGATCAGATATATTCTTTTGCTGAAACAGCTTCTTGTACTTATGAAATGATTGTGTTTACCAAACAATTGTGCTCTCATCCATCTTTTCGGCCATCGCCTACTATTGATCACGAAATTGTTTGTTATTCGAAGGACCCACACAAGGAGTATCCAAAGCCAAAACAACTTCTGCAAATGGAAAAGGAAAGTGAGACAGCACTGGAAAGAGTGGGTTTCATTACGCATGACTAGAAATCATTTTTAAATTTATGATTTAAATATTCGTGCTCGCCTGATCTTAAGCCATCTAGTTAATCCCTTTTTGGAATGAGATTAAATGATATCGTTGGTTAAGTTTGCATACATTATTGGTTTCTCATCCTCTATTTAACCGAATCATTTTTTTTTGAATGAAATCTTCCAGGAATATAAATCAACTCTTGAACTTGAAAAATCTTTTGTAAATGTTGATATTAATGAAGACGAAGAAAGCGAAGATTATGATGATCAGTTGGATACTACAATTGTTATAGCCAAGCAAGCTTCATCAAAGTCTGACAATTCACAGCATGGTAGTTTTAATTGCCTTGTTTAATAATAACTATTTGGTCGAACATAATATATAATATTTTCTCAAAATTTCATAATTTTGTCCCAAATACTGTAGTTTTTTTGTGTTGCTAATATGTTTTTTTTCTTGTTATTGATCTTTTCCACTTTTATCCATTCATCATTTCATTTCTAGTATCCTCAACAATTCCTACGGAAAAGCCGATGATCGATGTGGATAGTTTGCTTCAAGAAAATAGGTATTTGCTAAGTGGGAAGCACTGTTTGTATGGTGGTGGAATTGGATGGTGGAAATATGAATTTTGTTTTGGAAAAAGTGTAAGTTGATTAATACCTTAAAAATTTTAGTCTAATAATTTTGCAAAAAAATGTAGTTTCTATTTATTTTTAGTAAACTGGAAGTAAAGTTTATTTGGACCAGCAAAATTTAGTAAATAAAAATTAATGATAAGTAATGGAAATGAAAATGTTGCAGGTAATACAGTTTCATGACAATTCTCAAGGTGAGCGAACTGAAATCCTGTTAGGTCTTTTCAACCTTGATATACACAAACATTGGATCGATGATAATCCTCAAAAGAAACCACTAAAGGTTACTTTTTCTTAATCTAACTGAGATGACAGTCTTGGAATTTGCTGTCAAGAAATAGTGTCACAAGTTTTTTGAGACTATCAAAGGAATATAAAGCTTTGGAAAACTAACAGCATACAAGTCACCGCTGTACAAATTCCGAGTTAACATAATATACCATTTCATTATATCAATTGACTAGATAAATATTTTGATTCAAACTGTTTTACTATATTTATTGTGTTTATAGATTGACGGTCGGATAACTCAAGTTTCGCATTTATATGCTGGCGGTGCTTTTTGCGAGAAGACTGATATTCACAGGTTTATTACATTTTTCATCTTTCAATCTTTGAATATGACTAATAAATTTTTTGAGTTTTTAGTTTCAATTTAATACAAAAAAATCGAACTAGTAAATTTTAGAAGTGTTGAAGTGCGTATTCGTTGTCGAATATCAAAAGGAAGTCAAACGGCTGTAACGCTTTACTTACTGGAGCCTCATACATGTCAGTATGTCTTGGGAGTCGAATCGTCTCGTTTTTGTGAATTATTGCAAACTGCTGATCAGTACGGATTGATTCAATTGCCAGAATCATGAAGCAAATTATCATGTTCGATTGTCAGAAGAGATGGGAAGGGAATTTAGGGTAGGTCGATCCTCTAAACGAAAATTTTTCTTTTACTCTTGATAGTTGTTTGCTTCAGATTGATCCAGTTTTTCGTCATCGTTTTATTATTTTTAGAACATTTATTTTTTGAATTACTTGTTTAAATTTATCCATATATGCTGGTATCATTGTGTCTTCTGAAACAAACTTTGATTGAAGTTTATTGCCTGGATTATACGGTCTTTCAATATGATATTCTTCAGTTATCGAGACATGATCGCGTGTTTGTCTGGTCTCGTTGGACTATTACTCCATCGTTCCGATTCTCTGTTTCCAGGACATTTCGGGATTATTGCCAGAAAAATTTACTTCAGAATAGTTTCTCAGTAATATTTCGAAGGTTTAACGGTTGTTCCTCAAGGCTGATGATTTTAAGAGATTTTTCATATTGAATTTCATTGAATTTGAAATTTATCATTTCACTTTTCAGCATTTCCTTTCTTTTGGTTTTGAATTTCACGCGGTCAGTGTTCATTCCGTTATTTACTGTGATTTTTGTAAGTGATGTATGGAATATTAAAAAGTATCATTAGCTTCCTGAACAGCAGCATTAAATTGCAGATTTTATAGCGCCTTTACGTAATCTTTTCTTTGCATGATTTGGTCAATCAAATAGGCGTAAACTGCGGCGATCGAGTAGTATAAATACATCTGTTATGTAAGGTGTGGTTTAGATGGTAGTGATTTTTTTCCTAACAATTTCAGGCTTAGTATGGATTGAAGTAGTGGTTTTGAATATTGCTCAAGAAAAATTGTTTAAAGGATTTTCTGTAGTTGCTGTAAGAATTTTTTAGTGTGCTAAAAAAAAAATCCCTTAAAATGTTTAGAAAGTAAACGTGCCTCAGGCTAGTGCCTTCGTTTATGAATATTCATGTCGTAGTTGTAAAATTACGTTCATTTTGTATATATACTGTTTGTGTTCATACGGATAAGTTCTTCTGTGATTTTCTGGAATATTACTTCAAGCTTAAACTTAACTGAAAGGTTAATTGTCGTGGACCAAAGGTAAATGCATAATTTTGATTTATTTTAGAGGTTCCATTATTATTTTTCTTGCTTGTATGTTTATTTCTTGACTTTGAAGAAAATGTGTAATCAATTCAAAATTCAAAATTTTTTTTTTACTATCGAAGGAAAGCACTATTTACATTGCAATGCACTGCGATGTTAAGTTCAGAAAGATTTGTTTAAACATTTCTGGTGTTCAGCAAGATATTATCATTTTAAAAATAATAAAAAAGTGTCAAAATATCCATCAGAAGTATTTGAACAGTCGCTTTTGAATTATCCCATCGAGCAGTTTAGCTAAAGTTTTCTCATTCCATGAAAAAATTCTAGCTAAATTGAAAAAAGAGCTATAAAAAAGCGGTTGACAATAATTTTCGAGACATTTATATATCAATCTGTTCACTGTGATAACTTTGTTCTTGCTGATCTTTTCTATGTGTTATTTAATTAAAATGACTTTTTTAATTATTGTGCGATGCGTTTAGCATATCCTATATGGTTTTTGCTATAGTACAGATAAATTTAATTCATGTGAACAAAATAATGATTTACAATCATGGGTTGTAGCCAATTTTTTAAAGAATATCATACTGTTCATTCTTTTGAGAATTATGATTTCCGAGGGTTTTAGTTTTCCGGGTTCTCCGCTTACTTCAGATAGACATTTCTTTAACTTAATTTTGAAATTAGTTGATTAGTAAATATGAAATATTTCCCAAGGAGTTTGACCAAGTTTTCCAAATTTTCAGTAGCTCCTATTATGTCGTACGAAATCTCAACAGGACATAAAGATAGTGATGACAAAAGTCTGGAGACAAAGGATAAAGATAAATATATGGAAGAAAAAGACAAAAATGCGATAATTGCTGGTTTGCAGCAACTTCGTGAACAGCAAAAAAATATTGTTTTGGAATTAACGCGAGTAGAAGACGATAAACGTGAGCATGAGTAAGTCATTTGTTCTTTTTTTTAGGTCCAAGTGAATCTTAGGTTCATATAAACTATAAAGGACTAATGAATCTCAGGTTCATATAAACTATAACTTTTATTGATTTCTTTTTGTTGCCTCCTTGATGTAAAGCATCTTCCTAATCTCAGAATAAAAGTGTCGATCTTACTGCATATTCTTTTTCTCCTGTTATCCAATTAGTCGTTCATATCTATGTAACCTCATTGATAAGTTATCATTATGATTCCTTTCCTGATTTACAAGTTTTTTCTTTGTTAAACTTTTAAAGTCTCTTTATTTTATTTCATGAAATTCTGATAATCATAATTAACAAAACACGAAAAAAGCGTTGCGTTGTAGACGTGTCCTGCAAGTGCTGAAAAAAATGGAAGGTGATAGAAAGTGCTTTCGAATGATAGGCACGACATTAGTGCAACATGAAATTAGAACTGTACTGCCTATATTGGAATCAACATTAGAAAATGTAAGTATTTTATTATGTTAATTTATTAATTTTATTGTCTTGCATTCTGATACTTGAAGATTTGTTAATTTTATATTATAAATTTTCATTTCATCATCATAAATAACTTGTAACAATATAAGTCGAAAGATAAGGTGATTTACGCTCACTTCTTGATCTCTGACAAAATATATCTAATTTCGCCGTTATGATGCTATTATAATATATCCATATAATATCATGATTTTCTCCGAGGTAGATTTTGTTAATCAAATTAAAAGGTGAAAAAGTGTAAGATTTAATGAAATGATTTATGATTATCTACCACATGATAAGTTAAGAAAGCTGAGGACAATTATTAACAGGTAGATTTTCTCTCAAGTATTCAAAAAAGAAAAAAATTTTAAAGTTAGTCTTCCTACCCCGGATGTAATAATTCATTGATGTATTAGTAGTTTTGACTGTTTTATCATATCTATTCGTGTAGGTTAAAAAGTTAAAAAGTATTTGATGATACACGAGAGTGTTTTTGACAAATTATTTAGTTTGGAATTCCTTTCTCTACCTTTCTTCTTATAATATATCTCTCATCTTTTTAATCATTTATTGGTTCAGTTTCATTATGGAACAACTTTGACCCCAATAAAAATACACTAAGCTTTCGTTAAGAGAGAAACAGTTAGGATATCAATTCAAATACATATATCACTTTCTTTGTCTTTTTCAGCTGGATGCATTAGTGAATTCAATGAAGGATAATTTGATAGACAAAGGGAAAGAATTGCAGGAATATACGGAAAAACATAAAATTCGTTATATCAGTGAGAAAGAATTCAGGGAGGAATCTGAACGTAACATGGTGAAGAAATAATGATAAATCAAGGAATTTTCATCGTAGTGCCAATTATTAAATTGATTGAAATATATTTTTGTGATATTCAGCTTTTTTTTGATGAAGCATGTAAACGAAATCGGAGTTTTAATGTTACTTAATGGTATTTGTAATGATCTTTTCAACACTAGAAGAGAAGAGAAATGTGATGACGAATAGGAAGAGTTTGAAAGACTAATAAAAAACACTTCTGGGTTATGTTTAAATAAAAGTACATCTCGATTGAATAATCTTTTGTGGTCGCAACTAGATAATTTTAACTTAACAATTTTTTGAGTTTTTTTTTTTAATGAAGTTTTTGAAGTCTTGTTAGTACTGATTTGTAGTTTTTTGGTGTCAAAAATATAAATCTGACATAAATATGGATATGAAATTGGTCTTTCCCAAAAATATCTTAATAAAAATAAGCCGTTTGCATATTAGATTTACAATTTTCAATTCATCGGTGAACTGCCGATAACCAATGAATTCAAGTTAACGATTAAATATTCGTTGCCGTTTCTCGCTTCGTAAAATTAATTCTAACACTTATTTTGCAATCAAAAGAATTTTAAAGAATATTCAGGCAATTATCATTATTGATCTTAAGATTGTCTGACGTTTAGAAAATATTTAGGCTACAGATTGGATCAAATAAACATAATTAGTTTAGTTTTATGCCGCTATATTTTCATTAATTCTCCAAAATCTTTTCTGCATATGCCTCAAATATCCATATATACAACCAATTTTTATGTACAACCATTTTTTCCTCTCTCATGATATTTCTTCGTCTGATGTAAATATATGAAATGAAATGTTTGTTTTTTTTTTCTATCCAAATTTATCATTTTTTGTTTTACATCTGTTGAAAATTCTCAACATTATATTAAAATATATTTTAATTTTTATTATTCTTTCAAAAGCATATTTAGAAGCATTTTTTTTTACTAAGTTTTATCCTCTAGCAGTGCAAAGAATTTCAAAATTTTATAAATAAAATGGTAAAAAAAAAAATTTCATAAGTTAAACATGGCAGCAGCAATATTAGCGGACATTTTTTGTATTTCATCCAAAATTGATAGATATGATAGGATAAATGAAAAAAGCTGAAAAAGTCTAAGCAAAAATTCCATAAGCAATTTTTTTATTTGATTCATCGAATTTATTCAGGTAATAATGATTCGTCGAATTGTTCATCTTCAAAAGATTCCACATTTTCGACATCTGAACGACGTAGACCTGTTCGTGGTCGAGGTGATGCTGGTCCGAGAGGATCGCTGTATGCATAATCAGCGGGATCTGAAATTCCATAATTGCTCAAATTTCAACCCTTTGGATTGTAAATTGCTTGATGTACATAAATTATAAAAAAAATTATCCATAATAATTTACGACACACTCATTTCTCTACGTGAAACGTGATACTGCTCATCGTCACCGGACGACAAATGAATGTTTGCTGTTTTCAATTGTGATCGTGAATTTGGTCGACCATTGTCTAAATGTAAAAAGTGCAAATTTACACTCATATGCATAAGAATTATTTCAATTTAAGGTAGCTTGAAATGATTGTCTGCTTCGCACTACTTCTGCGAAGATTAAAATATGCGAAAATTGAACTTTGATTTTAATCGTATTAGCATGTAAAAGTGCTCAGATTATTACTTGAGAAATTTCCTCATAATCAAATTCAGTAGAACGAAAGTCAATATATGATAGCATCATTGCACAGTTTTTTTTAATAAGAAATGGATGAGATGAGGAGTTGAACTCGCATGCTGCCAACTGTTATCGCATCTTGCAACCACTACACTAATTAGCGAATTGTGCATGTGAATTAGGATAGTTGATTCAGGAAGTTTGAATTAAATGATCTTAAATTTTAAACAATAATTCTATCAAAATTAAATCGACATTATGCATGTATGACATTTATATTATATCAATCACAAATGAATTATTTTAGAAACCACACTGCTGCTAATGCTATTGCTGTTACTGCTACTGCTATTATTACTACTGCTACACTGCTATTATTAGCACTATTACTAATAATACTATTAGTATTATTAACTACTACTACTACTACTACTACCACTACTACCACTAC